GTCCAGACAGTCGCTGTGAGAGATAGGCTCCTTAAGCTTGAAGCAAAATGTTGCTCTTATGTTAATTTTTGTTAATTGAGTGACGTGCAGATGGCTAAAGATATACGAAAAGCAGCATATTTATCCAAGGGAGTTCGGTGACAGTAATTTTGGTCAGAGGGGGGTGGGTTTATGACTGAGTGTTACGAGGTTGTGAAGGTAATGGATGAGGGGGAGCTGACACCAAATTAATGGTCTGAGATTAGTAGATTAGTTTAAAGTAGATAAAATGCTATAAAAGTATACAGTGAATTTTAGTAATCTGTTGCTACAGGAGGTTGTAGAAGCAAACAGATTCCAACAAGAAGGATTAGACAATATACATCAGGTTCATAAATAATGTATATAAAGGACAAGGCAGAGGGTGTGCCTTGGTGTATCCCTAATGTAACATTTCTGTCTGCTGCAGAAGTAGGAGAGGAACAGCGCACAGGCAGTGGCCACAGTTGCATTATTCCTACAGACCTTTCTTATTGCTGTTGTCCAGGCTGAATATGGCCTGGAGTCCAAGAGGTCTGTGGACTTGAACCAGTTGGGCATTTCTTATCTCCCTAGCTTTACCTTCTGTTGAGAAGGTAAATTTGTGTAAAACAGCATTATATTTTTTAAGGACAGTGTTGTAACAGCTGAGAGGCCTGGAGGAATTGAGAGCTGCAGCACATTTTCTTTCTTAACCTGTATTTCACTGACCAACCAATGAAAGAAGGGGTCCTTGTAAAGCTTGATTTAGTCCTCAAAACATAGCAGGGACCTGTCAAAACAGAGATGCTAACATCCCTTTCAGTTAGGGGAGGTATGTGCTACAGATAAGTATCATGGCAAACTTAGGTTTGTAGACATCTGGTCTCTTGCTCTCTATGTAATCTTACAAGACTGTTCTTCTGCCCTAGTTCTGAGGTATTTTTGGTGATAGTGATTGCTTTCTTTTTTTCTAGTTAAATAGAGACCAAAATACAGGAAGTGTTTTGAAACAGTGTGTGTTCCTGTGTGGCTTTAAATCGAGTTTTTTTGATATCTCAGACTCAGTCAGTATTGTATAGTACAAAAGACCATCCAAACACCTATCACCTGTGGTTAAAATAAAACTCTATTTATTTTAAATAGAAATACGTGAACTATGAAATAGTAGAAACACTATATACTCTGGATGAAATACAGATTAAAGTGGGGAATTCCATTAGAATTTATACAGAATGGTTGCTTAGCTGTTTTCAGTCAGGCAGCAGAAGTGTATTATCTTAGTACCCTCCTTCCAAAGGAACACAGTACATGATGTTTAAATCCCATTTCAATTTAATTGCATCCTGTTAGGCCAGGGTATGCTGAAATAGGTGTCAAGTCCTAGGAACTCTGCATGTTACAGGAGTGAGCAGGAAGTGAGTAACAAAACACAATGTGAGTTTCACTGGCCCTACCAAGTTTGAGAGATATGGGGAGCTCTTATTCACGAGTGGAGGTAAGGATGTTTCCACGTCCATAGTGTTCCATTATTCTAGGATCACAGCTGCATCTCGTAGCCATTCTGTGGGCATCCCACTGCTGATGTATAAGTTTATAGAGTTTTGTGTTCACTAAGAAGGATATATCATAATACCTGCTTTTGGGATGGTGCCAACTGCTTGTGAAAAAGAACAGAAAAAGCGTACGCTAGTAGCAGAAACAGCTTAGTCATGCTTGTAGAATACTATAATGATTGTTTGCCAGTAATTTAATGATTGTTTCCAGAGGTCACTGCATCAGTGTTGTGATCTATTGCCAAGTGCTGTAAGGAAGTCATAGTGGAGAGAGAACATGTTCAAGGAAAGAAAAGAAAAGGGGAAGAATCATTGAGGGAAGCAGGAAGAGAACTTGGAAGCAGAATGTTAGGATTGAGTGTTTTCAGATCATTATTTATCCAGCATGAGGAAATTTCCTTCCTGACGTTATGGTAGTGATTCTGTATGACCCAGTATCCTGGTAGTATGTGCAGAATTACAGTCCCTTATTGCAGTCTGGGAGAAAGGGAATGTGTGTAATATTTTAAAACGGCTGATACTGGTTCCTGGTTGCAGGCTGCATTGACCCAAGGCATCCCTTCATAACCACATAATTGCCTGCTGGAGACTCCTACAGAGCAGAACGGACAGGAAACAAAGATGATCTCCTTCAAGCAACTGCCCCTTGAGGCAAAGGCTGCAGTGGCTGCAGGAGTGGTTTTCTTCTCCATGATGTTATCACGGAGTTATCTGGCAGAACAACTGGAGCTCAGGACACGGCATTGGCTTCTGAGGCTGCAGATGGCACTGTTTGCTAACACGCTGATGCTGATAGGATCTCTTCATGTTTGGAAAAGCACAGTCACCATGTTTTCCAGGTCTTCAGCTGCCAGCTCCTTCTTTTTCATGCCATGGAAAATAGCCGTCTTCATGTTTTTAGCTTTGGCTCACTCAAGTTTCTTTACGTTGCTATTTCTTGTTGCAGAAGAGCCCTATTTCTTTTCTTTAGCTGCCTACACTTGCCTGGGGGCCTATATTATTCTTATTTTCTTCCTCTTTGCTCTAGGCTCGGTAGAACAAGCTTACAAGTTCTTTGTTGGGAGAGGTATTAAGGCAAACAGCAGTGGTAAGAGCAGCAGAACAGCAGCAAAGCCGGTTTTGGCAGTCATGCTGACTGCTGTACTGACTGTCATTGGGCTGCTAAATGCTTCCCAGCCTCCTACTGTGAATAGAGTGGAGATTCCAGTTCACAAGCTGCCCTCAACAATGAACAACTTAAAAGTGGTCTTGCTTTCGGATATCCATCTGGGACCTACGGTTGGGAAGACCAAGCTTGCCATGATCGTGCGCATGGTTAAGGCTTTGAAACCAGATATCACAGTGATCGTTGGGGACCTGACTGACTCCGAGGCAGAGATCATACGGCCTGCTGTTGAGCCTCTTGGAGAGCTTCATTCTCCTCTGGGAACGTACTTTGTCACGGGAAACCATGAATACTACACATCAGATGTTAGCAACTGGTTTGAGCTGTTAAAATCTTTTAACATTCGGCCACTCCATAATGAGAACGTGAAGATTGTTTCACCGGAGAGCACTGATGACTGGTTCTGCCTGGCTGGTGTTGATGATATTGAGGCAGATGTATTACGTTACTCAGGGCATGGCATGGATTTAAAAAAAGCTCTCAGAGGTTGTAGCAGTGAGCATGCAATAGTGCTGCTAGCTCATCAGCCGATGGCTGCAAAGTGGGCCCTTCAGGAGAGACCAGAAATAAATTTAATTCTCTCTGGTCATACTCATGGAGGGCAGATGTTCCCACTAAATGCTGGAGCTTATTTTCTGAATCCTTTCTTTGTTGGCTTGTACAAAGTTGGGCAGAACACCTTTGTCTACGTCAGCCCAGGGACGATGTACTTTGGAATACCCATGAGATTGGGCAGCAGAGCTGAAATAACAGAGATAATTCTACGTTCTCCTTGAGGAGTTTCCCATTTCATGGATTTTTGCCATCCTTTTTAGTCAGTACATTGGCTTTTTTGCTCTGAAAGAAAATGCTTTTTCAGGAAAGCTATAAGAACGTAATAGGATGGACTTAAGCAGATTCTGTTAAATCTGAGGAGAAAACACTGTATCTTCAGCTATGAAACAAATCAGAGGGTGTGTAAAAATACTCAAGAAATTCCTTCTTTGAGTTCACTATTATTGACATTCTGCATTTAAAGATAACACGGTCACAGAGATGATGCATGTTCTGTGCATGTTTATTGTGTGTCCTACAGCTGCTTCTTGATTCTCTGTTGATTACGCGTTAGGCAGTCGCCTTACCCAATCTCAGACTGGTGAAATTCTGATCTCTTGCAGTGAAATGACACGCGTGTTTTGCAGAAGAGCCACAGAGTGTCCTCTGAATATCTAAATTCCAGAAGTCTTATGCTAAAAAAAGTTATGGGAAAGGAACAATTTCATTTTTATTTGATTGTCTTTGTCCCACTTTGTCTGTAGCATGCTGTGGGTCTACCAGTCTGCACTGCTCACCAGTGCAGGGAGGTGCCAACATTATTTTCTGAAATTCAGGCTTTCTTCCACTTGAGAAGATGAGGGAAACTGATATTTAAGATGAAAGTAGTTGTCTTTCTGCAGGCATTTTCCCTAGAATAGTTGGGCATTTAGTAATTACTTTCTGAAAGCAGCGGTAATAAAAGCAAATGAACAATAATATCTTAATTGGCATCATTTCTGTTGCTATTTGAGCATTCACTGCTTTCTGTTGTAAAGCATAAAGTCAAAAGCTGAGGTACTCTGTCTCTTTTTTCCTCTTTGTTCAGTGTTTTTGGTTTGTTGTTTTTTTGGTTTTTTTTTTATACTTCTTTTGTGAGAGTATGGGAATGTTATTTGAAAAATATGCAGATAAGATTCAATGAGTTAAAGCTTGAACGTTGTAAGGTTCTAATATTTCAAGTAAGTGGTGTC